TATAACAACCACCAATTCTTGTTCAATCATGAAATGTATAGAAACGTAACGCAGTTAATAAGTAAACACATATTGGACCTGAAAGACCAGAAGACCAAATACCAAATCAAGTGGAAGCAAGTAAGACAAGCTAGACCATACACCAACGTTAGCAAAAGATGCAACTTGTGCCTGTGGGAGAAATATTACATAATACGTCAACGTAAGACTGCAACGCTCAACAAAAGAAGTGAACTTATGTCGGAATGTAGACATTCAAAGAAATTTTTATTGGACAATGCAATTACTTAGTTAGAACGATGAACTATAGCTTTTAACACTTAGCATATAAACAATATCTTAATCCATCCGTGAAACGATACAACAATGGACAATCATATAATGCAGAGACAATGAACCCATATAGTACTTAGATTTTATAAAAATTCAATATGACTTTTTAGCATTTTAAATTTATTGTAATTTGTTTATCAATGAACTTGCCATGTAATCGAACATCTTCGATCGGCATTCGCCTGACGATTGCTTCAGTAGAAGCATGAAACTCAGAGTAGCAATTAAATGTTTTTAAACTAAGAAGTCTCTCTTAACTATATATATATATATATATATATATATATATATATATATATATATATATATATATATATATATATATATATATATATATATATATATATATATATATGATTTAGTATAAAATACTATGTATAATATAGGTATTTTTTACCGTGTTTGTTTCACGACATGTATATATCAATGATTAACTTACGCGAATTGTATTCCTTCCACTCGTGAGCTCACTCAAAAGAGTGTCCAGGCCTTGTGACCCTGGATGGGCACTTAAAAGGAAGAAATACACACACACATAAAGAAAGATTTTATTCCATTTCATACTCATAGTTACATGCTTGTTCAAACTTAGGTACAGGTTGTTGTTTACCTAATGGCGTAGTGAATGTATCTGCCGTCCAAATAGTGATAGCGGCCCAGACCTCCATGTCTACGGCACTTTTAGCATTATAAGCAACTATGGTAGAACTGCGCATGACATCGCGTGGGAGTTGTTATTCCAAGTTCAGGGTCATTGACAAGTGATATACATAATTTAACAGGTTAATTTCCTGTGACATGGAGGTTTGGGCCGCTATCACTATTTGGACGGCAGATACATTCACTACGCCATTAGGTAAACAACAATCTGTACCTAAGTTTGAACAAGCATGTAACTATGAGTATGAAATGGAATAAAATCTTTCTTTATGTGTGTGTGTATTTCTTCCTTTTAAGTGCCCATCCAGGGTCACAAGGCCTGGACACTCTTTTGAGTGAGCTCACGAGTGGAAGGAATACAATTCGGGTAAGTTAATCATTGATACATACATGTCGTGAAACAAACACGGTAAAAAATACCTATATTATACATAGTATTTTATACTAAATCATATTAAGCTCTCTTTCAAATACGAAGGGGTGGGTGAGGAGTCTATTTAGGATTGAGCACTTTTTGGCTATATCGCTGTTAACTCGAGCATTACGCAGTAAACTCGAATGCGACAAGATCGAGAAACAAACTCTTTCAAAAATATCTTTAATATATATATATATATATATATATATATATATATATATATATATATACGAGTAGGTTTGT